GGGGGGGGGAAGCGACTGAATTTCATTTATGGTGACCATCTTACAATTGAAGGTTGCCAAATGGCGACTTTTTGAAAAATTGACCTTGGAGCGCTGAAAAGAGGAAAAAAATCAAGCTTAACTCACCAGGATATAAAAGGCCTTAAGCAAAAACATCAGCTCAATTTTATTGCCATTTTTTTAAAGTACTCCAAAGGTGGAAACCTTTTGTTTACCAGTGGGAAACTTTCTTTGTTTTCATGACAATGAGAAACAGAGATTTTTTGTTTCTCATGAATTAAAGAAGGTCGCTAGGGGAGTGGAGATTTTTTCCACTAAAAAAAAAAATGCAAACCTAGCCAAAAAAAGGTTCTGAACCATGTTTGCTCACTGAAACAAACCTCATTAACAATATTCAAAACATTTGAAAAGCTCTCAAATTCACAAAAACAACAAGTGACTCTTTTACCCTGAGCCTCTCAATTGTTACCTTAAATGCTCAAGATTGCAGCAAACACATTTAGTTAATTTGGTAATATCAACTATGTTGAAATTGTAAATTGGCCACCGTAAAGAGTTAAAAAGCTGACATTTCGAGTGTTAACCCTTTGTCAGAGCGAGTTTTTAACTCTTTACAGTGGCCAATTTACAATTTCAACCTAGCTGATATTACCAAATTACTTTGTTACCCTCACCTACACAGCACCACAGTTTCTTTAGAAACTTACCCCTTTATACATTTTAGTTAACACCAGTAAGATGTAAATCAGTAAATCTTGTTCCTGTTATCTGTCTTTGTCCAATGTGATGCACAAAATTGTATAGTCATTTTTTTTTCACAATAGAATATTCTCACCTGAATGCGAGGGAGAATAACATCACAAGCCCTGTCCTCTCTAAGTAATTCATCAATGAACTCATCCATGTGGGAAAGCTCCATTTCTGTGCAAGAGAGAATATCATTCCACATAGTATAAGAGAAATAGAGGATATTACATAGCCGCGCGGGGATACAAATTTTATCTCCAAGTGCTGAAAGTATCTCTCACTCATTCGCTGCACTCACTCGTGAGAGATACTTTCAGCACGAGAAGATAAAATTTGTATCCCC